TGGACTTAAGATTGTCTCAGGAGTGATGGATGCTGGATTAGTGACGTGGAGCCGTCGCATGCATACTAACCACCAGCGCGCGCGCGTGTGTGTGTGTGTGTGTGTGTGCGCAGGAGTTGAGACGGGTTAATGGTGTGATGTTGGAGGTAATCTGCGTGTTCTCCCGTTAGGAGATGATGAAGATCTATGTAAAAATGTGACAGTGTATCGTGTGATGAGGATGATGATGGTGATCGTCATGGTGATAATGCTTTTGTCTAATAAGCCTAGAATAATGGAGGCTGAAATGGCTCTTCATCTTGTGTAAATTCATAAGGAAATCGTTGTTGTCTCTTGTAGAATTCCAGGGATTTATCTTTGCGTGATTATCCGGCCATATGTGAGACAGTCTGTGCGCAATTCATTCATGTTTCCAGTCCTGACTGCAGATGCATGCTGTAGGGGTGTTTATAAATAAATAAGCATATTTTCAGTCTCTAATAAGATTCTGAATACTAAAAACAAAATACCAGATACACTTATTTTTTGTATTTTTTAAGTTGTAAATAAAGATTGTCGGAGTATGTTTTGCAGGAAAATACTATTTCAGTCTTTCTACTTCAAAATTTCACATTTCAATGTGTTACTTGCCGTTTCTTTGTAATTATTTGTGAAATTTACTAACAATTTCTGAGTGAAATTGCTTGTACACCTTTTTTTTCAGTGTACACTTTTTTTTTGTAAATAAAACAAAGATTATTGGAGTATGTTTTACAATAAAATACTATTTCAGTTTTTCTACATCACAATTTCATGTTTAATTCAATATTTCTTGCCATTTCTTTGTAATTATTTGTGAAATTCACTAGCAATTTTTAAGTGAAAATTATTTCTACACCAAATTTTTTTTCAGTGTACACTAATTTATCCCCAAAGTTGTCAATAAAACATTTGCAGTACATTCTTTGGTGTGAAAAGGCTTTTATATTTGCCAAAAATATAACTTTTTTATTTTAAAAACAAACAAGCAAGCCCTGTCCAGATTTAAAAAGGTAACGCAAAAGTAACGCAACACGTTACTTTCCATAAAAAGTAACTAAGTATCGTAATTAGTTACTTTTTTATGGAGTAACGCAATATTGTAATGCATTACTTTTTAAAGTAACTTTCCCAAACACTGTATAATATCACTGTAGGTCATCGGTAGCTTTTAAAACATTGATCTGTTTGTTTTGAGTGGCCTGATATGTCGTCATCTGACTTGACCAATGGCATGAGTTTGGGGGCGGTACTATCTCTTAGTCTGACCAATGGCAGATGTAGGAGTGTTTAAAAAAATTGCAATACCATGTGAAAATGACATACTTCAGCTTTAAAGTTGAGACATAAACAGTCTTAGATAGGTTTAGTGCCATTGAGAAGCACCACTTATTAAACCAATCACATCTGCAGATGCTCTGACTTGTTTAACATCACAGTGAGCATCGCACAAGCTCTCGTCCCTTACATTCATTGGCTTGTGTTTGTTGTATGTGAGCTCCAGTGCTGATCGAGCAACTGAATGTCATGTCTTGGAAAAAAGAGAGCGAGAGAGAAAAGGGAAAAAAAGAGAGAAACACAATTGCTTTTAGACAGTGAGTGCGGGAGACTATTGTATCAGTATCGATTCCTGTAGCGCTGCTCTATTCTGCATGAACACCACGAGACAGCGGCAGCGGAGGCTGAACTGCTTCAGACAACATGATGCTTATTGAGCAGGTTCAGGTTCAATGCCATGCTGCCTACTATTTCCAAAGAAAGTAATATGCAGTATAATATGTGCAGAGTGCAAATTTGACTACATTTGAAATAATGTGCAGTATGCAGCAGCAGCACACGTGGCACGGAATACTGTATCCCACTGTGCAGTACACTTGACCTTTTAAACAGATTTAACTCATTCAATCTAACTTCCACAAGTTATATATTTTTTTACACAAAATTGGATTAAAAGTGCAAACTATTTTTATTTCTGAGATGGAATTAAATGCAACATAGTGAAAGGTGATATATATATATATATATATATATATACTATATATACTTCGGTTTGCAATGTGTGTTGCATACTGCATAGTGTTTTACATATTATTATGAATACTGCCTACTGTTTTTAGTTTCACAGTATCAGTGAAACTCCTGAAGAAATGTTTTGGTCATTTTTCACCCCAAAACAAATCAAAATAAATTATATTTTGCATTAAAAATTAAGCTCATTTTTAAGACCATTAAAATTATTTTCATGAATTAATACAAACAATCATGTGACACTGAAGACTGGAGTAATGATGCTGAAAATTCAGCTTTGATCACAGAAATAAATTATACTTTAAAATGTATTCAAATAGAAAACAGCTATTTGAAACTGTAATAATATTTCACAATATTATTGTTTTTACTGTATTTTTAATCAAATAAATGCAACCTAGGTGAGTAGAAGAGACTTCTGTCAAAAACATTTTAAAAATCTTACCGACCCCAGACTTTTGAACATTAATGCACACTGTATACTGCATACTATTGTTTTTTATGCAGTATACAAAGATACAGTAAATGTTTCAAATAGTAGTACGCTAATTTTGCCATAGGACCATTATTTTACATTGGAATTATTTAGTTATTTAGCTGTTTTAATTTTGCAAATAGTGTCTTTTTTTCTTTTTTTCAAATAGCTGACTTTTTTAAAAATCCTATTTTATGTAAAAAAAAAAAATATTGTAACTTTTGGTAGTTTGATTAAATAAATCAGGAAAAAAAAATTATACATTTACATTTTTTATATATTTTTTTAAATACAGTTTCTATTACTTCCAGTTTGTTCGTCACACTGCAAGTGAAAGTTCAAGTCAAGAGCATTGCATTGTAGGCAACAGTGTTCTTTAAAGTGTGGTGTGTAGTGTACATTTTGGCAGATGTAGTAAGTGATGCACTGTATTCATACTGCTCAAATAGAATGAGTAGAATTCATCCCCTTGTGTTGTGATGAGTGTGAAGCCATTATGTTGAGTCTCTGGTATTATATTTGTCGGAGTATCGGATGCTTTCTTGCATTGGTGACATTATTAGACTGAGTTTTCCTCAAGAGCGATCACGCTAATGTTTTTCTCTGTTTAAGTACTGGAATAAACTTTGCTCTGTTCATTTGTAGCTCTGCGGTATCAACATATGGAGCAGAATTATTGACTGGAGTGTTTTATTATGTGTTGCATGGCCCTTAAGTGTGTCCTGGATTGATGAGCTCATCTCTCTGCTGCAGGTGGTTGCGTTGAGCCAGCGCAGTAAGGAGGCGGAGTCTGCATTCCTGGGAATATACAAACAGCTGATCGAGGCCCCAGGTGAGCTGCACACCTGCCTGCGCCATCACACACACACACACACACAACCATACATTCACCGCTCA